ACCGCGAGTGGCACCATGGGAAGTGGGTCCCTCCTCTGGAGAACTCGGAGGTGGAGGAGGAGGTCATGCCTGTGGGTGATAAGGTATTTTGCCCTTTTTTGATGGATTCTCGTTTTTGTGATGTGTTGTGTTCATTTTTGTATATTTGAAAATGTGTTGATTGGAAGTTCTGAATTGTGCTGTTTATTGGCTTATTCATCAACATCAACATACCCAGTTTATTGGCTTATTAAATATGCTTAATTAGCGGACGTTGTATAGAGTCGTTTTGTGCTTAGATTTCCTTGCAAACAAGACATTGCAAAAATTCTGGAACAGTTGGCCTTATTAATTAGACTTTGGCGATGCTAATGCGATGATGTTAACAATTACCATTAAGAATTTCTGATTGTTCCAGAACCAATTGTTTGTTGCATAAGATGTTTAAGTGTGTTTTTAAGCTCCTTGGTCCAGTTATATGTTTTGAGAAGTTGTATGTCAATGAGGAAGGTTAATTAGATATTTTCGTGTAAGTAAAAACATTGACAGGTAGAAGTCTTGTGCTGGTGATCATGTTTCTCACTAAGCACCTTTTGTGGTTAGTACAACAGATACGCCTTGGCATTTTGTAGGTTGGCATTCAATTTTAATTTCAAGTAATTCTTATGTGTTGTCAATTTTTTACTTGGGGGAAGGGGTAGAATGCATTGGCATCTTCTTTATGTTGTCTCATGTGTCATGAGACTTGAATCTAAACGCATTAGATAGTATGTTTTCTTGCTAATGTTTGTTTATGAGCTCTTGGTTTGTCGTAGTTCTTTTTCTTTTTTCTTTCGTTCTTTTTCTTTCTTTTTGCTGCCTCCTGCTAGCCACATCCCACATCCCGCTTTGCATTTAGGCGATCAGACTATACCAATGTTCAAGTAGGCTCTTGTCTAATCCTCTAAACTCGATCTCTTCTTGTTTTATTGCTTCAAACTGGATTGTGATTCCACACTCATAGAAACGAATAAACGGTGCCAAAATAATTTGTGAAGTTTAAAAAGAACTTAAATGGAAGCAAGCAGGTTGTTGCGTTATCAACGATGACTTGATTTAAAGTATGATGAAGGAGAGATCGAAATAATTCATCTCTCTTCTAAAATTCTTGTTTGCAAATATTGCAAATACTACAAATACTAGAGCAGACTTTAATACAACAACAAGCAGCTGTTAAGCTCCCACTAAGTGGGGTCGACTATATAGATCACATGTCGCCATCGTGCTCAATCAAAACACATATCCTCATTCAAGTTTAAATATTTTTGAACTATTTTTTTTTGTTTCATTCCAAGTTTTCATAGGTCTTCTTCTTTCATTTTAATTTGCAGTCTTAATTTTAATGTTTCTACCTTTCTCACTGGCCTCGAAGTCTCTCCTACGCATATGCCCAAATCATCTTAATCGTGATTTTCTCATTTTCTCCTCTATGTGCGCTACTCCAACTTTATTTCTAATCTTATCTAACATAGTATGTTCATACATCCATCTCAACATTCTCATCTCTGCCGCTCGCATTTTTTTATTATTTTCATAATTAGTAACCCAAGACTCGGATCCATATAGCATTATCAGTCGAATGGCCGTTCGATAGAACTTGCGGTACTTTACGATCACAAAGTATTGACGATGCATTCCTCCACTTGTTTCATCCAGATTGAATTTCATGTGTTGTCATTATCTTTTAGAATGGATTTTAAATATTTAAAACTTTTAGATGTGTTCAATTCATATTCCTCAATTTTAACCTTTACCCCACATTTACTCATTTGATTAGTAAAATTACACTTCATATATTCCATTTGCGTCCTATTTATATTGAAACCCTTAGATTCAAGCGCCTCTCTCCAGTTTCTAACTTAGCATTTACCCCCTCTCTCGTCTCATATATTAACACTATGTCATCCGCGAACAACATGCAATTGGTGACATCCCATTGCAAATGTTCTTTAAGTTCATCTATTACTAATGCAAAGATATACGGACTCAAGTCGAACCTTGATGAAAACCATAGTGATAGGGAATGTGTCCTAACACAAGTTTTCACATTATTATACATATTTTTTGTGGTATCTATATAACCAACTCACACTCCCCTATTTTCTAACACCTCCACATTATACCTCTATTAGCACTATCATATGTTATTTTAAGGTTAATAAAGATCATTTGCAAAATTTTGTTTTTTCTCCTTTTCACAAATTCTCCTTATTACATGAATAGCTTCAATTGTTGGTCTACCCCACATAAAGCCGAATTGGTTTTTCATTATGTTTGTTTCTTGCCTTACTGTTGTTTCTATTATCTCTCCCATAATTTCATTATGTGACACATTAGTTTTATGCCACTGTAGTTTGCACAATTTTGTATATCTCCTTTATTTTTAAACTAAAGTATTAATGTACTTTTTCTCTATGGTTGGGCATTTTCTTACTCTTGGTGATTATGTTAAACAAGTTCGTAAGCCAATTAGTTCCAAATTTACCAAGGCATCTCCATGCCTATATTGGAATATCATCGGGACTTATGGCTTTGCCATTTTTCATTTTTTGCATCGCATTCTCTACTTCTTTGATTTGGATTATTCTATAGTATGTGAAATTTTTATGTTTCTCACTTTCCTCTAATCCCCTAGCGATATTTCCTTATCATCTACTTCATTAAATAGTTTATGAAAGTAATCTTTCCACTGATTTTTTATTATTTTATCATCAACTAACATTTAATTTCCGTTACGTCCTTTGCCTTCTTTCCCTTTACTTTGCAATTTTATTAATGTCCTTTTCTCCCTCCTTGGTATCTAATCTCCTATAAAGTTTTCGAAGGAGCTTCACTTTAATGAAAGTATAAAATTAGAGAGGCTTCCTACAAATTTCAGAACTGAGAGGTGGCTAGGAAATTCTTTCATAATTCATAGAACCAAAAATTTATGTATAGCTTTTGTTCATGCAGGATTTTCATCTTTTAAGATATTTTCTCGTAGGATGAGTTTGACCTTGAAAATTTTCCATGAAAGTTGAAAATTATAGTTTTGGCAACTTTGCTATTCTACTCGGCATTTAAAATTTCTAGTTAAGCACTTCATAGTTGAAACTTTAGTCACTCATCTTCTCACGTGCCTGGAATTCTCGAACAACGTCCAGCTTTAGAATTGGTTACCAAGCATCACAGTTTTTCACAGAACCAGGTGTATTATGTTAACAGCCCAAATTTCTTAGTGTAATGAATGGAAAAGTGTATTAGTTTTTGTTTTGAGGCTAACACAAAGGTGTGATTATGTGAAAAATGAATTTTACATAGATTCTGCAAATTTTTCCTTCACTACATCATGAAGTCATTCTCTCACACATTTATCTTCCTAATCAGAAGCCAGTTAAAGTGGAATCCAAACACAAGGAGATCGAACATAGTTATAGCCCTGGAGATGTTGTTGAAGTCAGTAGCGATGAAGAGGGTTTCGAGGGCGCTTGGTTTGTTGCAAAAATTGTGAAAAAACTAAACGATAAGTATCTTATAGAGTATCAAACCCTCAAGGATGATGACGGCAGAACTCTCCTGAGAGAAGAAGTCGATAGCCTCCACATAAGGCCGTGCCCGCCAGATGTTGAAATTGTGGATCGTTTTGAAGTTGGCGAGGAAGTTGATGCTTTCTACAATGACGGTTGGTGGACGGGCATCATTTCTAAGCTCCTAATAAAAGAGAAGTATTCTGTGTACTTCAGTGCAAGTGAGGAGCTAATAAAGTTTAACCACACTGATTTGCGTGTACATCAGAACTGGGTTAATGGCAAGTGGGAGACATCCAAGGTACTACTTTATGAGACTTGCCTTTTTTTTTTCATTTTTTAATTCTTCTGGATGATCATATATTTCAGATGTCGAAACTGGAAGTTCTCTATTGTAATTTCTATCTGCTACATATATATGGCAATAGAGATTCATAGTATACAACCAAATTGTGGACTTTATATGGATGAGCCATGTAATTGGGTCGTGAATAAAGTGACTTTCTTTTAGCAAGAACGAATTCATATATTTATAAGAAATAAGATGTGATAGAACATTGGTACCACACAAGGGAATACTCATAGGACTTCAGTACTTGGTTTTATATATGTTATTGAGATCATTATTGTCTTATTTTTGGCCATTGATCATTGGAACAAACCCAACAAGTCAACAACCGAACACAATTTCTCCACTACACAGTCATGTTAAACATTTCATAACCTCAACCACCATTGAGTGCTAGAGGTATATGATTCTTTGGTTGGGTCAATGGTGTGAAACTTTGATGGGATGGTGCGGTCCTTTATATATGAGATATATTGAGTGTTTAAGCAATGCGTATAATTTTTGTAAATTTTTATTGGAAGAAGTTAACTGACTTTATCTAACACATGCATATTGATTCTTATTGTTTAATTTTGATAACATTTGGTGATAAACGTAAGCTATTGCATATTGATTCTTATTGTTTAATTTTGATAACATTTGGTGATAAACGTAAGCTATTGTGACTGTACTCTACATCATCTCCAATAATGCCAGTTATTGAGTCCGTTATTCTCCCGAAATGTCACAATTATGCCACTTCTTTTTGTTAACAAGTGGAAGTTTGTCTCACTAATGTATCTTTAACAAAGATGAAGGGTTCACAAGTTTTATACCTCGATGGATATTTTTTAACCTGCACCAGATAGATTTTTTTTTTCTTAATAGACCTTTGTTCCTAATTTTCTTTATACACTGCATAAAAGGAGACAGTGTAGACTTTGGCCAAGGTAGGATGATCCCCTACCTCTTTGAATTGACTGGTCGATCAGTGTAAGATTGTAATAGTATGTTGCATTCTGTATGCCCCACGTAAATTCTTATGTTGTGGAATGTGACTATATTTTCATTTCTCTTCTTGTTTGATTTTTTCCCCTGCCCCTATGGATTAATATCCACTGAGCATCCTCTTGTTAAGCGTACATTCTTTATCATTGGCTAACTGTTCATTGTTTTGGCGTTTTTCAGAATCGGAAGTCATAGCAAGGGATCAATGGCGCACCGCTTCCCAGATCTTGTATATGATTCTGCCTCCTGCTCGAGATGCCCCTTGTACCATACCATAACTTTAAGTGCACATTTTCTATGCAAATTTTGGTAGACCTTTGAAATCTTGATGCCTTTTATGAATTTTAAGCTTATCTGATGATTGATGACTCGTGTTTGACTTACCTCTTTTTTTTTCTTTTTTCTTTCTTTTTTTTTTCCGTATTGGTGAATATTATTTCCAGTATTTTATTTAGGGATTTGGATTTGGACTACTAGTAGTGTTATTACCCGTTGATGATCTAATGATTTGGGCCTTTTGCATGAGACTAAATATTTTCTCTCAAACAATTTTGAAATGAAAGACATAGGAAAGACATTTTACGTGATTGGAATTTCGATAATTTGGGTAGATCACAAGGTTTGTTGGGTTGTCTCTAAAAGCTTATACGGATAAAATTCTTGAGAGATTTAGTATTACAGTTGTTCACCAGTGTTGCCTCATTATAGAAAAGAAAGGAGATAAGTTTAGCCGTATGCAATGTCCTAAGAATGACGAAAAAATATGTAATCTATTTCATATGTTTCTGTTGTGCGTAGTCGTATGTGCTTGCAAACTTGCATGAGACTTGATATTAGCTTTGCTGTTGGAATGCTTGGCCGATATCAAAGTAATTCTAGATTGGATTACTAGAAAAGTTGCAAAAAAAAAGTGATGAGATACTTTTAAGGGATGAATGATTATATACTCACGCTTGGGAAATATGATCACCCTGAGGACCTTGAGGTGATTGGATATTCAAATTTTGTTGGGTGCTGACAGTTGTAAGTCAATGCTTGGCTATGTGTTTCTCCTAGGTGAAGTAGTAATTTTATGGAAAAGTATCAAGCATTCTGTCATAGTTGCATCTGTTATAAAGGCTTAATTTTTTAGCTTATTATGAGACTCCAATTCACATATTTTGGTTGCGGAAATTTATTTTGAGACTTGGGTTGTCGACACTATTACCAAGCTGCTGAAAATGTATTGTAATAATTCCACAGTAGTTTTCTTCTCCAAAGAACGGCAAATATTCTAAGGGTGCAGAACACACGGAATTAAAGTGCTTTGCCGTTGAGTAGGAAGTTCAGAAACAAAATATGTGCATCGAATATATTAAAACAAACCTTACGATTGTGGATTTGTAAACTAAAGGTCTGCAACCAAATACATTTAAAGAACGTGTACATAGAATGAGTCTGCATTATATCGAGGATTGATTATGATTATTATGACACAATCTTGAGCTTATTGATGTTACATTTATGATTTTTTATTGAATTTCTTGTTCATTATGCTTAGAGCAAGAAATAAATGTCTTCAAGATAATTAAGTGGACAACTTGATATTTAAATATAAATATGAAACTTAATGTGTTGAATTGTTAATGTAGTAGTATATGGAAGAAAGTATGCAAATCGAGAGTGTACAACCACCATAACTGTCACTATATGGTTTTTTATATCATAGTTTATTATGATACATGGCATAATGAGGTTTGTATATGTGCACATAATGTTATACTATTAAATTAAAGAGCTCTCGGACCCTAGGGGGAGAATGTAATAAGTGAAAATAGCTATTTTCACCCCGTTTTGAAGTATTGTTAAGTTTTCACACCGTCCAATAAAAAGTTAAGTTTTTAACCCAGAAAGTGCGAAATGCATTGTGCGATGAATATGCGACAATTGCGCGATGACATTGTGCGGAAGTTAAAAGTGCGAAGGCATTCGCATATACCTTCGCACTTTCTGGGGTGAAAAAATGTTAAAGTGCGAAGGCATTGTGCGATGAATATGCGACAGTTATGCAATTGATATGCGATAGTTTTTCGCATAACCTTCGCATATGCGACAGTTATGCGATGAATATGCGACAGTTTTCGCATAACATTCGCACTTTCTGGGGTGAAAAACTTAGCTTTTTATTGAGCGGTGTGAAAAACTTAATGTGTCTTTGTATTGGAGTGAAAAAGATTTTTTTTCATGTAAGAATACGTTGCCCGAAAATATTGGGCTTACAATTAATGATCCTATTGGTCATACATTTGTTTAATGGTCAAACAAATATGAGTCATTAATATGGATATTTGATGAACGTACTAAATCTAAAGCCACATGACATCTATATAAATTAGTCATCTCTCCTATACGCTACGCAGTATTTTGCCAACAGTATTTTGATATGTGAAGAGACACTTAGAAGGGAGAAACTTGTTTATATCAAGAGAATTGAGAATCCCCATGTGCTCATTAAATTATGTTGTTTTCCTCATCAAATAAGTATACGTATGTTGTTTTCCTCATCAAATAAGTATGTCGTATACGACATATTATTTATTCAAGATCCGTGATTATGCTTACAAATCTGTCCCCACCTTTGCTACTCAACAGACCACAACTTCCCCTGTTTACCGTGACTTTGCTCTTTTCCCCAATTGAGGAACCACCCCCTTCTCGTCTTTACACCAGCCCAGCCACCTTCATTCCATCAAGGACGACATAAAAACTCTCGTCTTGTCTTGCATTGTCCTTCAAGAAGGTCCCTCGTCGCTAATCTATTAATAAGAAGAAAGAAGTGGAATCACCACAACTAAATCGGTGAGCAAAAGAAAGGGATTTCTCATATTTCAGTTAGTAGGGAAGGTTTGACAACAAAGTCAACCAGTTTCATTCGTTCCTCGTACTATGGTCGAGTGACTTCATTCCTAGGCAGAAAGCAATTGTTGGATAGTTTCATAATCCCTATAGGTTAGTTTTAGGTTTGGGGTCACATTTTCGTAGGCAATTCTAGGGCTCATAGGAGGTAGGATAGAGAATAGAATTTCTTAGGGTCTGGGAAAAGCATGATGGGCGTCAGGGTGAGCTTTAGCATGGTTTACTGAGACTCTGTTCTGTTCAAATTAGGAGAATCAAATCTTTAAAGATTGATTCCTGGACAAGGTCCTATCCTAGGCTTAGAGCTGAACTAGACCCAACGAATGAAGCGAAGGGAAGGAAAGGAAAAAAACATCATCTTTGTCCAACCCAAGAGTCATAGTGGAGAGACGAGCAAGTAGTACATGTTAAGGGCTCGCCGTATGGAGAGTAGGTGCGTGTTGTAGCTACCACAAGAAGAGAAACGTAACAGGTGTTGCTTCCACAACATCCACCGCGGGTGCTTGGGCATTATTTGTTCTGGCAACGACTTTAGGAGGTAGAACCTTTTTTTCTCATCAACTCTTCAACCACGTTAGTTTGTGCCAAAAAAAATATTAAGTGTCGTTAATGACATAACACCTCTCTCTTCTCTATTGTGTCATACACGTTTCTCCACCCAATTTTTGGATCCCATAGGTCGGACCAACTAATATAGTTAACGGTGAAAACAAATAAAATAATTAATAATCAATATTATTAATTAAGAAAATAACTTAAAAAACAACTCGGGATGAATCTCGACCAACCTAATGACGATACATTGATAAGAAACTTCTCGCCCAAGCTTAAAGATGCCAATTCTACTTAACAAAAGGAACGGTATGTGTTGACCGATAAGTCAACTTAAATGGAGTTCTAACTAAAAGTATAACCTAACGAACCTATATATATATAATTGTTGGCAGATGCATTAAATAAAACATTTAATAAAACCTTCATAATTTTCCTGCTCATTTTTTCAATTAATGTAAAAACGTTTTATTTTACATTAATAAAGTGTAATAACAATTCTAAACTAATTTACTATATAATATTACTACTAACACTAAATGATTATAATGTTACATTTAATAGATGTGGAAGTTACATACTTATAAGAAATTGTATTGCTTCTTTTTTTTTTTTTTTAAAAAAAAATATTTTTATCTAAAATAAAATAATTAGTCTTTTATCTAATATTAATTAATTGGCGTGAGTTTCATAGTTAAACACCTTAAAGTCATTTAGACAACTGCTATAACAGTGATAAAAAATATTTGTAATACTTTTCTAACTAATTAAATGTATGGTCCCTCTAGATTATTAAATTATATTGTCCATTAAAATTTATGGCATCAATATAAATATTCATACATAAGTTAAATAATTTATATTTATATTACACATTTGTATAAAGTCAAAATTTAAAATGTAATACACCCATTATTTAATATAAAATTTTATATATTGTATGCATGTATATAATATATAATTTTTTTTATTGTGCAGGTGCACAGGTGAATATAGTTTTCTTAGTAAGTGGGCCTTCTAATGACATAATGAAACTTAATTGCCAATAGATGCTCCCAATCGACTATAACAAATACAATGATGAACCATGCGATAGTTTGATTTACAACACACCATTTTAATAAGCAAAACACGTAGAACAACTCACACTCGTGACTCCTCCACCCTGCGTAAAAATTTCAATGTGGGACTTTTGTCTTGTACATCAAGTGGTGGATTAATGGAGGGTGTATTTATTGACTACATATTTTTCGGTTCCTTTGCTTTTCCTTCTCTTTAATTCCTTTTTTCTTGCGTGTGTTACTACATTAAATTTCGGGGAGATGCTACGGTCCCATTATGGAATTATTTCGTCGAACTTTATAACCGTTAGATCAACTATCTTGACGGTTACATGATGTTCCAACTATTACAAACCCCAACGGAATGGTTCCATAACGAGACCGTAATATTTTCCTAAATTTCGTTTTGCCTTTTGCCTTTTATTTTTTCTCCCACATTAAGTTGTTTTGATTTTATTTTATGATTTCTCATATGTTGTGTTGCTAAGAAAATTGAAAACAATAAAAAACTTAAAATTTTATTAAAAAGATAAAATACAATTTTTTGTCGTATCTGTTCTCTCTATTTTGTAACTTAAATATGAATCAAGATATAACAAATAAAATAAATAAAA